AAAATCTCCCCAACTTCACTTCCCATGGATGAGTGAATTTGCAAGAAAAACCATCAGCACTGAGCACATGATTAAGCTCACGCGTGATGATTTTCGTTTGTTTTTTTTTTTTATGTTACCTATCTATATCGTGGGTGTGTGGGATATATTATGGGAATATTATTAATAATTGACAACAATAACATTTAGTATCGCATATAATAATACAAAATTCCATTTAGGGAAGTGTTTTGAAAAAAAAAATCGTTATAACAATTGATAAATAATTATAAAAATAATGCAGGGTTTCGAAGTCAAGCTCAGACCTTTTTTTTTCTTCCTTGATTTGTTCTCCGCCGATCTTGTTTTCCGTGCTGAGCACCAATGCTACCGACGCCAGGAAGGCACCTCCCACACCTGGACCCTACCTATCAGAGATGCTGTGCCTCAGAACATCCCGGCGGCGCCGACTGGGACTGAACCCAGGCCTGCTAGAGTGAGAGGTAATCACGCTTACCACTACACCACCGGCACCGCTCAAGATACAGTCAAAATAAACAGTTTGATAATGGTTGTTAAAACACGTAAGAATAATTCGATGATTGAGTGATGGAAGAAAAAGCGGTGTTCAGAAACTGGAGCAGCAATTGGTGATGGGAGTTCATGGGAAGTTACACGACAACGTAAAAGTGATCCTGGAGTGACCGTCCAAAGATACATTCCTTTCAAAAACATCGAACGTTTTATCAACGATCCAACGTCTTTGATCCACTATTTTGAAAATCTACTTCCGTCTTGCATCATCAATTTTGTAAATAATGTACCATCTTGGAATTAAAACTGTCATTGAAATAACAACAATATTGCATTCAGAAAGATTGACCATTTTATAAAAGACCCACCATTTTGTATCCACCATCTTGAAAATCATCCTCTATCGGGAATACACCATTTTGAATATCTACCGACTTTTTATCATTGAAATTGAAATTTCAATAGTTGAATTATCATATTCAAATTTCACTGATCTTTTTATAAAAGGCCGGGCATCTTGATTCCACCACCTTGAAAATCATTCACCAGCTTGAATCTGATATTTTGGCATTGTAATTGTCATTGCAATAGCAGGTTATCATCACCGTACCCACAGGTCTTTTTTTACACGGTTACTGATTATGATGCTATTCATAATTATATTGTCCATATAGACAATGTCGATATACATGTTTGAAAAATTTATGTATTTACCCCAAAAATTGGGATTTTGTTTTGAAAATATGCCACAATTGGTTAAAATTTGGCTAGATATTGAAAATAAATTTTAGATTAATGGATAATAAAAGGATGAGTGCTCTCAGGATTTAATGATTTTCGGTGTAATAATTCGGTATTGTAAAAAAAAAATTCCATATTACCAATTATTTGTATTCTTAACATATTACTACTTGTACAATTGAAATTTGAAAATTACTGTGACTACTTTGAAAAGATCAATTGAATTAATAATCAAACTGTAAATCAATAAAAATATTAGCAATCAAGTATAGTTAAGACCATCCGTGCATAATACAGAATCCAAAATATGCACAAACACACCATCATACTGAGAAATAATGCTAGAATAGAATATTTTATTTATCATTTATCCTGAAAATTCAGTGCGCTTTTAGCTGTCGACAGCTCAGTGTATTTTTTGGTGCGGGTAACGCGATAGTCTGTTATTTGATAGCAACTATTGTTGCGGTGCTTGCTCATTGCCTGAAATTTGTTCGTTGGAAACAAACAATTGGAGAAGTCGGTTGAAATAAAGCTGACGATTAAATTTAGCTTCGCAAGTGGCATTTCGAGACCCTTCATGGGTGAAATTACAAATATAGTGAAAGCGTTCGATGCGGATCCCACTCAGATGATTGCTATAGAGAAATCTATGTTCATAAAGTTCAAATCGGAAGAATCGATGCCTTCATTGTTTGTTGCATAACCGTGAGCAATTAGTTTTCCATTAAGCTAATGTAGAGGCAGTTAAGGTACGCATATCCCCTGTGGGGAGCATCGTTCAATGCGTGCGAGTATACGATCTGCTACAAGAAGTCCCGTATTACAATATATCGTTTGTGCTGGGAAAGTATGGTGATGTGAAGCGTGTTGTTTAGGAGAAATTCCATGCGGACGTGGGTCTCACCATGCGCACTGGTGTACACGGTGTATATATTGACGTAAAAAACAAATTCCAAACTCGCTACATTTCCTCAATCGGATGAATTCCTGCCTCAAGCGGAAGGATCGGAAGCAGCAAAATGAAGACGAAAATAATCAAAGGAAGAACAGAGCAATACCAGTACATAGGCTGGTGTAGTGACTGGAGGTGCACCGACGGCAATAAAGACATCGAGGAACCGGTTTAGGTGCTGGATGAAGAGCTGGTGAAGATGGACGAGAAGCGGAGTGGAGAGGAAGCAATCGATGCTAAGAAACAGCATTCCCATGGGAAGAAAGTCTATTTTCGAGTGACTTCCTTTACTTGTTTAGTGCTCAATTGTAATTATTTATTAGCAATTCCATTCTTTTCGTTGCTAATTTTCAATAATTTGTTGCTGGTTCGGATATTTCCGTGGAAAGTAAGCCTTTTTTTAAGTGACTTTCTTCATTTGTTTAGTGCTCCATTTTAATTAGATATGTGCAATTCCTTTATTTTCCGTTGCTACATTTCAATAGTTTGTTTCCTTTTTTGCCCTTTACCGGTCTTGATTTGATTAATTAATTGTATTGCTATTTATTAATCTTTTAAAATTTATCGTACCTCTTAACGGAATCCCTTCATGATCCCTTGAGTGTGTTGGTTTATTTCCTTTTAATTCCGTTATAATTGCTTATCTTTTGACAGATACGCGTATTTCGTCTACTATTTGCAGACTTGGTTTGATCTGATTAATTATTTAGGTTCTGTTTTGGTCCTTATAAAATGTGCACTTTAAGTTAGATATTTGACGTTAAGCATCTCCACCTTTGTAAATGAAACTGCTTATTTTTTTTTCCTTGGATTTGTTTTCCGTCGATCTTGTTTTCCGTGCTGAGCACCAATGCTACCGACGCCAGGAAGGCAGCTCCCACACCTGGACCCTACCTATCGACCCATCAAACTCATGAACCGGGGACCAACGGCTTTACTTTCCTTCCGAAGGAAGGCGTGATCAGAGATGTTATGCCTTAGAACATCCCGGTGGCGCCGACTGGGATTGAACCCAGGCCTGCTGAGGTGAGAGGCAATCACGCTTACCACTACACCACCGGCGCCGCTATGAAACTGCTTATGGCTCCTACATACAAAACAAAAGGCATGAACATCTAATGTAAGGGTACACACTATGATTTTTTTACAGGAGTCAGTATTTTTTTACTGGGTTTTTGAATTACTGAAAATGTCGGTAAAAATTCAAATGACCGTTATCCGTAAGGAATCAATGAAATCGACCAATTTTATTTTCTATCATTAAATGGGGTTTACAGAACTAAGTATGTACAAGTTCAGAACAAATTTTCTCATTAATAAATTTTCCACAGATTTTTAAACTTTTACCGAACAGTTCCGCAATTCAAAAACTCGGTAAAACCGTACTGACTCGATTAGTGTGTAGATTTCTTATATCCTCTGCAGTGTTTCATACAGCTTATGTAATGACAGCTCTTACAATGGGCTGCATAATACTAGGATTGTTCTTCCAGAATTAATATTGCAGTATAAAATCTTCAACGCGATGATATTCTAGTCGCAGTGCATTTGGGGAAACAAACAATTATCAAAAATTTACCTAACATAAACATAAAAACATTTAAATTTGTCGAACCTCTTAAACTTTCATTTAAAACATATTTAAAAAACGACGGTTGAGATATTGAGATAAACTAGCCTAATTGTTAAAAATCTCATAAATAAGTTAAAAGAAAATCTGAGGAAGACTATAATAGAATCTGTTCATACGGTAATACGATATGCATGCTTTTTATGAAAAAATGTTATAAAATCTTGCATTTCCTGCTCGGGTGTATGCTTAAATTCAATCTTTGATGAAAATTTCATGCTTTACGAAACACGAAGAATCCATAAAATTTCACAAAGTCGTGTTTTGTCAAATTACTTTTTTTTGCCGTGAGAAACCCATATTTAAGAGTAAGGAAATATAACATTAATCAAATTTCAGTTGCTCGTTACGAAACACTCATCGTTAGGAACCAAAATAGCAGAAAATAATGTAATTCTTTAATAGAAGAGGAATCTGATTGAAAAACACTGTCTACGGTTAATCGATTTTAAGCCAACTTAATGTTGATTGATTAGATTTAAATCAATTTAGAAGATATTAAAAAGCAAAGCACACGATCGGCAGGTGTATCTGAGAAAATTTACGAAAAAGTCTACGGAAACCAGTGGGATCAGTATCTTCTATTTTTTCCAATAAATTAGAATAAAAATCTGTGAAATTACTCATAGCACTGCTGTATATTCTCGTCAATTTTAAGCGTTTGAGATTCACATCATGATAAAACCATATGAACAAAAATTGTCCAAGGCTACTTTACTAGTACATCAAACTGTAATAACGGACTAAAGATCAAAATGTAGAAACAAGGTTGTTGATTTAGGTTCCGTATTATACTTTAAAAATACTCAAAGCAATGAAGGAAGCTATGTTTCACTATTCATTGCCTTCCTTTTTAATACACCATAAAGCTTCCACATTATGCCACCGTTCAAGGACACTTTCTTTGAGCACAAGGAGAAACAAAAATATAACACTGAGAATCATCTGAAGGCATACCTACCTTGAGATGAATAAACGGTGATTTGAGTAGCGTTAAAGACAAACCGTCAATAGGTAAGACACCGGTTGACCCTAATGGCAGCTATATGTATGCTGGGAGGAAATGTGCAGCTACGGCACCACAAAAGCGGTACGAAGTAAAGGAAACCTGATAGGGTAGACCCTGTCACAGTCTATTGATAGTGGTGCCAGATTACAAACCTATATTTGAAACTGGTCCAAAAACGGTGTCGTCCTCTGTAGTACTGCAATTCCATCTTCGGTGCTTGAACTGGTGCTTGCATTCCTGTGATAATGTATGATAATGTTGTAATTAGTAAATGCATAGATTGATAGTGCAGCATTTTTTTAACCGTACCTGTATAGCGGCCCTGGCACCGCGGCTAATGGCTGGCATGACACTGGTATGCTGAGCACATAGCTTCTGCTGTCCTCCACTTAAACCACTGATTTTGTAACATAGGTCTGGGTTTAGGTTGATTATATCTTTCTCACTGTGATTGCCTCCATTGTTACTACCATCAATTGCAAAAACTGTGGTATTTCTAACACTTATACTATTACCTATTCCGCTCATGGCACTTACGCTGGATCCGTTAATTGATCCGTATATCGGAACTAATGTACTATCTTTGGCAAAAGTATGCTCGAACTGGGATCGCAAGGCTTTGTTTGTTGGCCGTTCAGCCCGGCGAAAACGCGAAAGTTTACGATTGAAGCTGGTAGAAGTTGACGCAGGAGGCACAGTCGACGTGGAGGCAACGGTCGATGAGCTGGATGTTAATTGTTGCAACATAAATGCTTTCTGCTGGAGTCTTTGAAGCCGTTTAGCACCTTTTCTGCCGGCTTTGGTCTTGTTTGTGCTGCCTGAGCTTTGGTTCGTTACACCATGAATATCTGGAACCGGATTGGAGTTAATTGGTTGTTCAGATGGCTTTTTATTTTTCCGATTTCGCTTCTTGCCGTTTCCTCGTGCATCGTTGGAGCCACGTGTAGGAGCATTATCAAATTCAGCATCTTTGGCGGCTGTTTGAACCGTGCTAGACGCCAATGCCGCCAATGTGGTTTTGTTACTGCGTCCGAGTTTTCGAGCCGGTGGTATTGTGGCCGACAGTGGAGATTTATTGCTTATCTCGTCTCCTGTCCCTTCTCTGCTTTCATGATGGACGGGCGGCGACTGTTTTTTATTCTTGATACTCTCTTCGTCGTTTCCTTTGATCTCTTTCTTTCTGTCATTATTGTGGCCGTAATTATTGTTATTATTCTCTTCATCTGTCGTGGAATCCGGAGTTTGGTCATTTTGTAAGAAAACCTGTGGGACTATTGTAATTTTTTCCATTTTGAACATGTCATCTTTATTATCGGACAATATGTCTTTGGAATTGGGTAGGATTTGCCTGGGCATATTTATCGTTGGACGCAGCCGTGTGAACCTTTCAGGAAACACTTTGACCGCACTTTGATCTTCTCTAATTTGTAGTACTGGCATTTGATGGAATGGAGTTCGATTAGTTGTGGTTGGAGTAGGGACACTTGTAGATGATACTGCTGTGATGGTTGATGATTCGGATCCATTCTTTTGCAATGAAGGGAAAACCACAAACTTGCTCTGAAAGTTCTTATCGGATTGAGTCAGATTTTGTAGCATCAAAATATGACGCTTCAGATCGTCAATATTGGTCGACGATCCATGAAATATGGACGACGTTTTTTCCTTTTCATTCGAAGAAGTCTTTAGAGCTAACGGTATGATGTATTTTCTTTCCTTTTTACTGCTATCATCAGATACCATGTGTTCGCTGAAGGTTTTCCTTTCCTCGTCCACGTCGTTTGAAAAGCCATTCTCTGTTGTAATTTCAAAATGATTCACGAACGATGGTGGTGTTGTGGTCAGAAATGTAATCGTCATGTTGCTAGGAAGCGTATTGACCACACCAGTCGTTGATGATAGCCCTGTAAGAAGCTGCCTTTTGCCATCATCCTTTCGTCCATTATCTACTGGACGTATGAAGTGGTCCAAATTTTGTACATTTTTCAGTTTGTGTCGTATTTCTGTTAGGTTCAATGATATGCTGTTATTCGAAAGCACCTCCAACTCTGACCGGAACTGAATGAAAGGCGACTTTAGTCCGAGGCATCTGCAAGAGAAACGAAGATAAAATAGAATGCATTAAGCTCATTAACGTTTGCCTTTTCTCGTTCACTGTTGCTGTCACACATATGAACGCAAATGTTGATACATTATCACAGAATTATACAGTGATTTGTCTTGATTATATGGTTCGCTTTTATGCTTGATCTGAGCAACCCACGTAATACAGAGATATATTTAAGCGTGACCTAACTGGGTCTAGAGTCAAAGATTGTTTCAACCTTTAGACACACAGCATCTGTAGTATTTAAATATATGCATGCTGTTTGTTATGAATTGCTAGCACTGTCCATCATTCCTTGCCGGTAAGGGAAGATGCATAAATGACGTAGCATTTTAGGGCGACCAGCCATGTTAAAAAATACGCTACAACGGGAAGGGGGTGCAATGTTGATGCTTCATCAAACTTAAACAAACGTTTAACGTCCAATTCTCCTTGTAACGTATTTTTCAACATATTTGGCCACCCTTAATTGCTACATGCATCTTCTCTAAGCTATTATAAAAACGATTAAACATAAATACAAGAAATCAAGATTTATGTTACTACTATTACTTATCGTAGCCACGTAATTTGTTTTTTATTACAATTATAGACATTTTAACTTACA